TTTTAAAAATCAAAATAACAACAACAATAAAAAAAAAAAAAAAAAAAAAAAAAAAAAAGAGAGATCTTAGCCTAACTATGGTACTCACAACAGCAGACATTTTGTATTCCTCTTTGAAAGGATATCAAGCTGCCAATATGTGCATTCACTTGATCTTCTATCAAGTCACAGTAACCCTTGCCAAAGTCTTTCAGAACAAAACGTTTGTGTGAACATACACATTGGAAGAACAAAAGCATGAGCAAGCCAAACCTGAAAAACCTCCAGCTCTTCTAAAATGAGTTCTCCACTTGCAGAGAAGTTAGTGGGTAGGACAACAACTTTTTGAACAGTTCCTTGATCTGTAGAAGATGAGAGAAAAAAAAAATGAAACTATGTGCCAGCAACTATGAAAAACAAAACAAAAAARCAACAAAGCAAATACTAGAACATGGAGAATGGTAGGAAATATGTTCATTAATTTCTAGGGCTTGAGAACCAGGAGAYGATCCCTTTGAAAGTCATAAACTGCATCTGTCTTGATCATGATTATACAGAGTATCATTCTCATATATGATCCTGAAGAAGTCAAGAGTTATGGCCATTATCAGTCTACCCCAAAAGTCCAATCAAAAATGCTATCTGGTGCTGTAGAGACTGAGACTGTCTGAGAGAGAGGCAGTATCTACCCTAAACATCTTAAAGAAAAAAATATGGACTGATAAATGGGCAAAAACRAGCTACTGCAGAATTTAATATTCATTCAAATTCATTAATAACATATGAAAACYGGTGACATGACGGGTAAATGTTATAAAGAATAACTCGGTGTAACCCAAGAAAGTAAGAAGAAAGACTTTTTCTTCAGAAGACTTGAACAATAAATCCTTTATGCAGCAGTGGGAGTTACTGTTTTGGTCCACGTGGAAAACAGGAGAGACATGGTGAAGACGCTATAGCTGATTCCTTATGGTTGCCCTGTTTTTTGACCCCTCAAATCAACTCAATTTGAAAGTGGCATTGAAGTAGGACAGATGTGGAAATGGCAGTGTTTTTGCAGGGAAGATGTGCTGACTAGTCTCTAAGGAGATATTCGTGATTAGTTTGCCTATCTCATTATGTGAAAAGAACACAGAAGATAGAGCGGTGAATTTGTGAAAACATTCAAAGGCTGCAACACTTTGAAAAGGCAGGCTGTGAAAAATCACAGGGACAGGCATGAGATATTAAAACACTGCACAAAGTAAGTAATTTTATTTGATAATATTTCTGTCCTTTTATTTGGAAAAAAAGAAAAACACAAAGACTTCTTGTCTGAAAGGACTCAAAATTACTCTGAGCAGAATAAATCTATTTGTTGAGTACTAAGCCTGAGGTATGAGACCACATGGATTCTGTTTTGCCTTCATAGGTTTTATGAAACATAGAGTTGTGTGGTTAGTAAAACATTAGTATAGCACAATACATGTAAGTATTTGTGTGTATTTTTATGAATTTGTGACTGAGGAAAGGAAATCTCAGTTTCCCATTTGGCAATTCACGATGTTGACAACGTAAACTGCAAAACTGTGGTTTTGCTTTTGCTTTTAAGGCCAGAGACTAAATTTCATAGCTGGGGCTGCAAGGCAGGTTGATTATAGTAAATAATTTACATCTTATTTCCCTGGTGGAAGGTAGCAAATAATCATACATTTGCTTTAAAACAGAATTAAGGTTTACAGACAGAATATTCATATGTAATGACCTGACCACACACACAGAGCTCACTGAAGTAGTTTGTTATTAAAAAAAAAAAAAAAGGAAAAGGAAAGGAGAAATTGAAAGCTGTCAAGATTTAAGAAAAAAAAAAAAAAAAAAAAAGGAAAAGGAAAGGAGAAATTGAAAGCTGTCAAGATTTAAGAATGTGTAGCTATCAATCGTACATGTTCTGAGCACATTAGGCATGAATTTTTCATGAGAATTTGTTCTATGGAAATCATTTCTTCTTATTATACGATGGCACGATAAACTAGTTCCTTCCGAAGAAACCTTGCTGAAACTAAATCCTGTGATAACACAGCTGCGGTCTAGACTGGGTGCCAGTATTAGCAAACCTACAAGAACTTGAAAGAGATTTACTGTATGCCAGGACCCACTGAAGCTTTAAACTGCTGCAGAGCCTTCCGTATTTGGAGCTAAGGAGAAGCATGTGCCTGTGTGTGTTGTTCTGCCTCTGCTAAAAGCAACCATCTACTCCCAGATCTTACAGTCAAACTCCAAGTTACTTCTCCTTCTTTGCTTCCTTTTATCAATGTTGTCTCCTTACCATTAAACCATACCATCTAAAGAYGCTGCAGTGTGATTTTTTCAGCTGCCTGCAAAGTGTCAGCTCCCTGTGACCCTAATTCAAAGGGCTCAAGTGCTGTTGCTAGTTATCTTACGTGCAATGGAGAGTGAGACTGAGCCTCAGAAAAACTAATTTCTTGGTTAGTTTCTTAGTTCTAATACTCCGTTAGTGCATGCCACACATTTAAGGTTCCTGTATCATCTCCAGTGCTCAAGTGAAATCAGAACCTGAGGTAAGATTACAGCCTGGGCAATGGCACAGAATATACTGATTGCGTCTGAGGCCAAGTCTTGTGTCCTAATAACCTTTTCCATTTGCAGACTGGATTCCTATCTACCTTTTTGTCACACCCTGGCAAAACACACAGAGTTAATGACTGTTTACCTTGGAATCTGTTCCCCTTTGACTCAGTATTTTAACAGTCTCTTCAGCTCAGTATTTTACCATTCGGGATAGATTCTTGTGAAAAAAAAGGAATATTCCATTGTTTCAAAGGAATTAGAAAACTTAATATAACATTTTAAGTAAATACTCATGTTAGGAAAAGTAACTACCTGCCACCAGGCAGTAATAAGCTATCCATTAAATAAAACCACTTAAAACATGGAATTCTAATAGTCTACATATATATATATATATACACACACATATACAGCATATTTCCAGTAATACCTGATTATAGGCTAYGGCCCTCTAGCCCACTTAAAAACAGTTTTAAAACTGTTTTTCAATCCTTTCATTGATAATGAAGCACAAATATTTGTGCCTAGATAATGCTTCCTACTCCTTTTTCTCAGTAGTTCCGAGGACTCCATTATAAGCACAGTAGATGTCAAACCAAGTCACTTTTATGTGCTCATAAGTCAGAGACTTATGGGACATCTGAGTTTTACTGAAAATCTTGTTTGCTCATTTCCATTATTGGGAAGGCAGCAGACAATTCCTGGGTCAAAAGGAAGGTTGGCAAGCATGCAGTAAAGCACACAGGAGATACATGCAAAAGTGCAGTGCCTGAGATGTTTCCTAGCATATTTCACAATAGATAATCTTTTGTGTCGTGAGCCAGACATAATGGATCACTGAACAAGTATCAGTCAAATTTTTTCACATTGAGGTCAAAGTGTAAAATTATAAGCTAATCCTTTTAAGTCATAAAAGTAAACGATCATTTCCCTCTCTGTTTACTTATGACTTCAAGAAATTCATCTGAAAACAGTTTTACATTGCTATGATTTCACATAGTCATGAAAAAGCCACTAAGTCTGCTGAATAACAAGCCAACATTGGAATGCACCAAGCAAAGGGGGAGATTTATGCTCACCATTTCCCTGACTTTTCACCTGGACTTGTCTGCAGCCCAGCTTCAGCCCTGCAGTCTGCGAGTTGACAGGGGGATGACAAATGGAAGGGAATCTCCCTCAAGCTGACAGCAAGGTGACAAGGGCGACTAATAATGACTGTTTTTGTATTTCAAGCCTGCTTGAACCTGTGGTCTCCCTGCTCACTATGAGCTGGAATGTGACTGAGATCACATCCCSCCCGCCATGAGCACTAGGGAAAGGGGGAATGGCAAGGGCATAAAGAGCACGCATCCAGCAGGCTAAAAAGTGGAGTTCAGGGTACACAGAATGGAAAACAAATGGCAARGGAAGACAGTATCTGGGGAGGGGAGAAGGAGAGACAAAATAAATTGAAACGAAAACACAGGGCAAGAACCTGGGCTGGTATGAGTTAGCTTAGCTTCCTTGACATTTCCTGAACAAGTCTTGGTCAGTATTGTTCAGATCAGGTCTTGGAGCAGCTGGCCATAGATAATGGAAAAGGTAAATTTCAGGGAAATAGAAAGATAAAACACAAGGTGATGGGTGGAATACAGCAGTCTGAGTTTAAATTGTGTTCTCTGAATCCCTACTAACTTTCTCTGCCCAGTCCAGAGTGAAGATGGTAATTATTGATACTACCTGTTACTGTTGGTAACTGTTGAAACAGTTGGCTTCAGAGTGAGGTACCCTCCATCCCTGAGCCACATCACATGCACAAAATCAACAAACAAACTAAAAAACCCACAGCTTTTCTGCATCTTAAATATCATGCCTGSAATGGACACTGACTGTTGCCCTGCTGGGAGTTTTGTAGAGCCTCCCATGGTAATTACCTTTGGGCAGATTTCTCTTAGAAATGCTTTAGGAACCCTTAGAAAACTCTTAGGAACTCCTTGTACCTGATAAGTGATGGTAGCTGAGTCAATAATCTGACTCGAGTCTGCTGAAAACATAAAATAATGAAGAATAAATGAAAAAGAAAGAAAAATTTCAGAATGCTTAAATTTGCTTTACTTATTAATTTTTCAGACACGTCAAAGCACCTGTGATTTTGGCAAGTTAGCAGGCAGGGCTGTGAGCTAGCTCTTCAGATCCTGCTGTCTTTGCATGGCTGCTCAACATCAGGACTCCCATCACAGCCACTTATCTTTCCTGTGCTTTAGTTTATTTGCCTGTAAAATGGCTGTATTTTTTCCTAGATCATAGTGTTGTGTGAAACCTTGTGCATACAGGCCTTTCAAGCAATGTCAAATAACAAAAAGGCAGGTACAATCATTCAATAAGCTAATGCTTGAGGACAAACTTTCATGTAGCCCCTTCCCAGTCAAAATCCTGGAACATAGTGTGTGTCTGTCTGAATAAAAACTGAATAGGAGGAACCAAACAGGTGTAGAAAAGCCCTCTTTAGATGTCTTTTTAAATGTCTGTGAAAAGTTTTGGACGAGTTATCACTAGAAATTTCTGAACGATTCATCCAGTATGTGCAAAAGGAAGGACRAAATTCTGCATGTTGCCTGTTGTCACCGTTGTGCAACACCAGTTTCCTAAGTTTKCAGGCCCATAGCTGTAGATAGCAAATTTTTTGGATGCAAGCCTGCTCTTCCAAGCCGATTACCCATCTCTGTTAGAATTGGTAGCTCATCAAATGATTTTGTCTATTCCATTACTGGAGACTACCAATGTCAGCAAGGGTTAGTCTTCCAAAAGGACAGACATCTTGTAACAGCATGTAATAAATATTYTCAGGAGTCAGTCACATATGTGACACAATATTACATCCATATGCTCTGAARGCACTTGCTGCATCAAGACTTTCAAACTGAGGACTGCACCACAGAAGGAAAGATAGTAAGAAACATCCATCAACCTAATGCAACATCAGATGCATGTGGTCCACATTAATCATSTGAATAAACCACATCGAAATCTGAAGTGTCCTTTCACAGCAGTAATTTAGATCTCTTTACAAAGAACTATATCTCTGTCTCCTATCTTCATGTCTAGGAATTGAATAAAAAAATCTTACTGGTGCCAGTGGCTGTTGAATGCATCCAAGTTTGACCCAGATATTTAAATATTTTCATAACACCAAGAGCCATTAAAAAAAAAGAAGCTCAGTCTCATGATTGTAAAGTCTAGCTGTACTCTGGCCAAAGGCTTTTGTACTACAAGCAGGAAGTGTCATGCTTAAGAAATAAATATTCATCTCAGGAGAATGTTCTCCTGTTGCTCTTAAATGCAGCTGAAACAGTTGAAAACTAATGGATATACAGAAAAAAAAAAAAAAAAAAGGAGCTGGAAGGTTGATTTCTTTAGGTACAACTGAGCTGAGTAAAGTGATTAGAGTAAAATTCCAAGATGAATAAAAAATGCTTTATGACTGAAACAACATGAGTGAGGCAGAATTCTAAGCTCAAATTCCTGAACGAGTATGTGCTTACTGCATAGGGAAAAGGTATCATCAGTTTTATTCATGTCAGATATGGAAATGAGTCAGTGCATTGCATCCAAGTAAATTATCTCCCTGGTTTCTATTTGGGAGGGTAAAGTATATAGCATTCTTCTCGTGTAGCGCTGCTATAGCTATCTACAGTTAATCAACTGCTTTTCTCCTCTGAATCAGCTCCATTTCAAAGGAGAGTGAGCAAGTTCCTTTTGAGGTGGACTTTAGGTAGACTTATCAAAACTAGCAAGCTTTGTCAAGTGCTTTGGCAGTCTACAGGTTGAAAAGCACAGAGAAAACTGGAGATCGTTATCATCCGAAAGGCGGTGCGGAGTGCTCAGGAACAAAGTCTGTCTTAGGGATTCATTTCCTTAGCTATGTAGCGCAGAGAGAAGGGAGGAAAAAGCAAATGTATTAACTCTCAGCACTGACCTGCCCCTGTGGGTGCAGCACTTTTGTCTGGAGGTGCAAAGGGAACACTACAGTTAATTCACATTAATGTGAAAAAAAGCAACACAGCTGCCTATGCCTGCTCAAGCCTAGGCCACACCATGAAAACCACTGGGGTTCTCAGAACTTTCTGCTCCTTGTATTCTTCCCTTGTACTCAAGAACTGATTTATTGCTGAGGCTATACAGGAGGACGACAGGAAAAGCTAGGCATTTTGTGTCTCTGCATCTGGCAAGATATATAAGACACTCCGATTTCAAGCATGAGACAGGTCATTGACAGTGACAGACACGGCTGGCAACATCTCAGTTTGGCAGCAGTAACTCATCAGCAGAGCCGCGCGCAACTGTCACCAGGTGCCAGCTACTCTTGTCTGTGGCTGGGGGGCATCCAGCTCTCGGGGAAATTATCACATGAAATTCTCCTGCACACTCTGTGTTTTGTATTTTCCAGGATGAGCTGACACTAAAACAAATCCCTTCCACAGCTCCTCTGTCAGCTAATATCTGTCAAATCCTCTCGAGCCTCACAGAAAGAACTGAATAAAGGAATCAATTTTCTTCTCYCAGTGGCTGAAACTTGATCTCTTTTACTTAAAAGGGCTGAGAAAAGCAGTAAGTTTCATTGCATTGATTTATTCTGGAGAACCTGAAAGCAYTAATGCCTCAGGAACCTCTCTGTGCCGAGCTAACATGAGAGCAAGCAACGCGATCATTGTATCCAGTGTAAATCAGAAGCTAAAAGCAACAAATTTTGTAAAGTGCCAGGAACTGCAATTTACCTGTTTGTCCCATAATGAATCTTGTGTTGATGCACAGAAGAGTGCATCAGTAAGACATAGGCACAAACTCAGGTATGTTAATACCTTTAATGAACCACTGGCATAATATATGAGACCTTGCTAGTCACTTAGCCACAGTCAGAGGCTAATTAAACTATAAAATTAAATGGTCTGTATTTATCTCTTGCAGTAGGGTTTTATGAAAGGCAATTTATCAACTAATTATCAATCAATATTAAAGAGTTAACTTGAATTTTATCCAGCATGCTWGGTTTCGGTAGATATTTATCTGGAATGCTTATCTGAAATTTATCTGGAATATGGTATTTAAAACACATACTTCTCCACAGAGTTGCATCATGTGCTAGCCTTAATTTTTGAAAATATTTTGCAAGTTTTAGCTGGAAAGAATTAGTGAAATGCCAATTATCATTACTCTACTTTTTCATGAGTGTTTTGTATTTMTTACTTTCTGGTATTAACTGGTCACTACTATCTGGTCACTACTACATTAAAAATCTTATAATGGTTGTAAACATATATGTCTTATCATTTCCACTAATTTTTAGTTGAATTTTCCTCTCATTAACATCAGATGCTTATGTAGCATTTTAAAACAATGGCACCAATATATAAAGATAGATAGATAGATAGATAGATAGATAGATAGATAGATAGATAGATAGATAGAAAATCCTTAAACTTTCACCTGAAAGATTTATTATAGCATAGCAAACTATATGGTGAAATATAGAAAAACCTAGAGCTTCTTTAATCATAATTACACTTTACTGTGCATTATGACTTGTGGTAGAGTAAATGGGGATCTAGTACATGTTTTTGACACAGATGCATGAACATGTTTCTGTTTTCCTATGGGTTTTGGGATGTTATCTAGTTCAAACTCCCACTGAAAGTAGGTCCAACTAGACTAAATTGCTCAGGGCTTTGTCCAGTTGGGTTTTGAGTCCTTCAGATCTTTGAGGATGGAGAATTCACAGCTTCCCTGGGCCCCTGCTCCAATGTTTGACCGTCCTGATACTGTAAACATTTTTTTCCCTTAAATCTAACCAGAATGTTCGACATTTCAGTTTGTTCCCATTGCCTGTCACCTGGTCCTTTAAACCATTGCAGACAGCAATAAGGCGTCCCCTTAACCTCCTCTGAACAAACCGAATTGCCTCAGCCTCATCTTATATGTCATAGGTCCAGTCCTCAACTGGTTTGGTGGTCCTCAAGAAATCTGCTTTCATTATGTCAGTATTTTCCTTGTACTGGAACACTTCAAATGGGCTCAATATTCCTGACACAGCTTCACAGATGCCAAAAGCAGGGGAAGAATTTCTTCTGGCAACCTGCTTACTGGATATGCTTTTGCTAATATAGCCCAGTAAGCAATTGGCCTTCTTCAAAACAAGGACATCCTGCTGACCTTGGTGGTCAAGGAGTTTGTTTCTAAGAAGAGTGAAGATAATTTCCTTTAACCTTGCCCTAACAGAAGCAGTATATTCATGAAAGGTTAAATCTCAGCACCAGCTCTTTATTATATCAGGATGGTTAAATCACAACCCCATGAGACTACAAGGTAAGTGTGCTAGCAGAAATGGTTATTCCATAAGCAAAAAACAACCAGGATCTCAAGAATATATGAATCATAAAAGCAATGAGATCCATCTCAGTAATTATTTTCTGATGTTCAGAGTTGTATGTATTCTCCAGGAATTCTCTTCTTTGTTCTACTTGAAATGATCTGTAGCAAAAGATTAGTGATGAAGCCTTTGTGCCTATCAGTCTATSATGCTCTGTGAAGCCAGTGGGTGTTTCAGATGTGAATGAATCTTAGGGTCTAGTCGGAGTATTTGCTTGTCTGCTTTAGTTAGGAACATGTGATTTGTACTGATATATTTTGAAAATTAAACTTGATCAGTATGAGAATCACTTGACCTGTTCCTTTCAGACTTCAGAAGCATAACACTAGATTCAAATTTGATATAAGTAAAAAAAAAATGTAGGCTATATTAGAAAGAAATTATTTTAGAATACTTAGATCAAATTCTGTGCATTCACTACTGCTGGAACTTAAACTATTTATTTTTGTTCTGCTAAATATTTCCATATTTTACTTTTTTTGTGAAGCTATTGTTTCTGCCTTTGTGACATTCTGATCCTATTGCTTTTCTTTTTAGAAGTAGCTTATACAGCATATATAAAATAATGATGATGAGACTATACAAAAGAATGCAAAGACAGATTTTGGTCTTCTTACTCAATTTAGAGAGCATCATACAGCAATGCTAGTGGAATCACATGGCAGAGAAATCATATTCAAGATAAATACAATACACACTAGTGTTGATTTCTATCTCTAATAAAAAGCATATCAATATATCTCTAGCACATAATTAAAAACTATAGAAAACATAAAATGCATAGAAAGTAAATAGAATATAATTTGTGGATATCTTTAGACCTTTCTGTAAAGAGAAAATATACTTGCACAAATCCTTTTGAAGGCAATGAGTTATACAGATTGGAACTGATTGCAAATTATAATGCAGTACAGGAGAATGACTTTCACGAAGTTTGTCTTACCTGTTCCAAGAAACAAGACATGATATCTTCCATCAGCAGCGTTCACACGGTCCACAGCAATCTTTGTATACTTGTAGTCTGTTCCTATCCTAATAATTAATGGCCTCTTGTGGATTGGGTAAATGGGATTAAACATCAAAGGGTGATTCCTGATGAAGGTCACAACATCGTCTGGAAACTCTTTGGTTGTCCGCATATTAGGTGTGAAGGCTCCTCCTGGACACTGTAAGAAACATGCACAGTAATGCTTAATAGTACTTTCCATCTATCAGAGACTTTTCATTTCCAAGCTGTTTATAGCTATTGACTGATAGTTGACAAAGTTCCCAAAAGAGCACTTCAGATGCTGTCTGAAAATAATTATATTCCAATAATGGAAATGAAGTACTTGAACAGCTAGTCTTTGAACTCCCATCAATTCAGATACAGCAAACACAAACATATTTTTGCCCTATTAAAAATGAGGTTGATGGCAAAGATCCATGGATCCAAACCTATTTCCACATTCTTTATACTTCCATATGCCGCCTGTTGGAAAAAAAAGTCCTGAGTGAATAGTATGGGAAGATACCAAACTTTTGCAGATGGTTAGTACAGAATTAGTGCAAGTCCAAGAGGTAAAGTTCTAACTGTAATTTTGTCAATATGTCTGTAGTTCAAAAAGATTTCAAGGACATCACATGCATTAGCTTCCATATTTTCTCCATTGTTTTGATTATGAGACAGAGAAGTAGCCTGTGGCATCAAGTGAAAAAAAGCAAAATTAAAGACTTGAAGAGAGGGGCCTACCATGACTCCTTCATATATATGAAATCCCATCATTCAAAGGATCTTGTCTACCATTTTCCTGTGTAGGCAGTGAGGAATAACAGAGGTCTGCGAGTACTCTAGATATTTTTTAAATRTAATAAAGAAAAATCTCTGTTATCATGTCTGAGACCTTCTGGACTTCATAAAGAAAAAAAAAAAAAACAATCTTAGACACCTCAGATGGCAAGTGAGAGTCAAACTAAAAGCAGAGTGAAAAGAAATCAAGAGCAGTCAGTAACTGCTCCACTGTGCAGGACTCACTGATGCTAATTTACATGACTTCTTCAGCCACTGTTACCTACTTACCATCGATGATCCTGAGCTCCCATTTTCCTTCTTAGATTTATGAGCCATGAATCTTTTCCCTGAATACTAGCGCTATACAGAAGTGTTTCAAAAAATATGGTTTTCCAGATGGAAAATGCTGATTTATTTAATGTGAAATATTTCATGGAAATGTGTTTATTTCAGTGAGGACAATTCTGAAGTCTAGGAAAGAATTTCTTGTCAAAACCACAGACACAGAAATAACTAGTAGCTTAGGCAGAGATTCACCTTACCTGACTTCTGCTGTCTTAAAGTCAGATATTTATTCTTAGTTAGCCATCTAGGTTTCCTCTATAGTCAGTAATTCAGACTAGATGGCTTTTAGATGGCTAAAATTACATAAGATGAATCATACTCTGACAGACTAGGAAATTCACTGGGGATATATGAGTCATGGGTCCAACCTACCTGACTTGAACAAACRTTAGAAACTGGGTCTTCACATCCCATGGGAGCCCTCTAGCCACYAGGCAGGAGTGTCAGTTTTACCCTCGGTGCTAAAAGCTTCTCCATTTTGTGCACCTAGTTAACTATTCATTCAGCAATACAGGGAACCAAGTAGAAAGGCRACTTCAGCCTCACGCCAGGCTTTAGAAGCAGCTTCTGGGTCAATTAGTATTTAATTATTTATACAAAGTGGAACTGCTTTAGTAGGAATTTTTTTAAAGAGACTGCTTTGGCATCAGTAACCTTCTTCAGGAAGCACCAGGACTTTGCTCAAATATGAGTCTCTTTTCCCAACTGAGGTCCTTGACAATTGATTCTCCTGAACCCTTATTTTTCCTCTGGGTTTTGGTTTAACTCTTATTAGAAATGACACCAAATGCTAATCCTCCTATGAGTGCTCACAAAACTGAATTCGTATTATCTCATTCGCTCTACACCTTGCCTCTCTGCAACTTTCATTGCCAGTCTTTCAGGCAATGTGTGCAGCTATCTGCTCATATAGGAACCGGTCATCAGAAGAGAACTGTATTCATAATGATGAGGGCTACTAGTGAGAATATTATTTTTAACAGTGGTCTTYTTGACTCCACTTCCAGCTTTCTGGAGTGATCCTGTTTCATTTGCAGTCCTCATTAAATTCCTTGTTCCAACAGTTCAGCTGTGAAAGAGACTTTTTCTGATTCCATCTATTCTCCCATTATTCTTGACCAGGAAATCCTAAGACTTCTGCCTGTGATTTCTTGTACAACCAAATATGAATCGTTGCTTTGAACAAGTCTTTGGAAACTTTCTTTAACCTGTTCATTCATTTGTTATGTCCTGCAAAATAGCTCTAATATAAACCAATACAAATCAGATTACAGAGAGAAACAGAATCCTTTAATTTAGAGTATATTCTCCAACATGCCATAGGTACAAAAACTATTTCTGTAAACTCCGAAAAATGGAAAATATCCTTAAACATCACTGAACTTAGGAGGAACCTGCCAATTATGTAGTGTGTTTTTCCATAGTCAGTTTAGCTTGTGGAGAAATAAGAAACCATTGGTATTTAGTGAAGGGCAGCCAAACACTCCAGGGTTGATTACAGCCAAAGGAACATATTGCTTTATTTTATTCCACTGAAGCTACACTGAAGTCTTTTCATCATTTATTCAACGTACATTCACTTCTGTCCAATGGTTAGTATGATTATCTTTTTAGACAATTGCAAAGTAGGACTTTCCATGTTTACATAAAAATGCATCCCTGTCCAGTCCAGCATCCCAGAATATAAGTCCCATAAGAAACAAGATCTCGTTCCATAGTCTTCAAGATTGATATTCCAAGTTAAGCCTTTGAACACATCTTATAAGCACCTAAACACACATATYCTAATTCTATATGTGTTAAATCTATATTTAAATTTTCTTTTTCCCTTTTCATAGTGCTGCCCAGTTCCTCCAAGGACCTTATAAGTTTCTATGAGATAAACCAAGAATAACATGCCAGTGATTGAGAAAATATATACAACATTCTGAAAGTAGCAAGAAACTGAAATGTGACTAATCACAAGATCATGAAACTTCCTGCYTAAATGGACCATTTGTTTTGTATTCTTGTAAAGTTTAAGCTTTAAGTCTCAGTGAATGCATGAGATTAGAGCTGCATGGCAAAGAAAGGTGGTAGCATTAGAACCTGACAGAATGTTAGTACTGATTAAATCTAGAGACCTAGGGACATGAAGTTCAAAATATTGCAGCTAGTAAAAATGGATTAAAATGTCAAGAGAAACTGTGTAAACAAGCAGAGCTACTACATTCATCTGAGCATTAGCGTAGAAGAAAAGGAGAGAACAAAATCTACAGCACAAAAAAATGAATAGTGATGTACTTAAAAGTTTTTAGCAGCAATGACTGGCAAATTAAAATGTAATTTTCTTGCTGAATGGAGAAGCAACGAAGCATTCATCTAAAAAAAATAAAATTAGAGCTACATAGTTGAGAGCTGATTTATATTTTTGTGAACACCTCCTAATTTTGATATATAAGCAATTGTAAGAAAAGTTTATGACAAACAGTGAAAGTCCCCCCATTGACACACTCCATTTAGGAAATTTGAAGTAAAGAAGATCCTGGAGAAAGTTCATATAGCCTTCACAAAACCCAGAAATACTGGACTTTATACCTTTGCTACATCAAAATTAAAGCTATGGCAAATAATTAAGTAAATAAATAAAACTACATCAACACTGCACTTGAATATGCCAAAAAGTGTAAGTGTGTGTGGGGAAACAAACACACTTTTGTTTAAAAATCCTCCTAAAACAATTCTGAAAACCTTGAAACTCTCATGGTTTTCAGAATCTACCGGATGATTATCAACCCATGTTGTAGTGAAAGAAAAGTACTGTCAAAGTTTTAAGAGATGCTAATAGCAGCCTTACCAACAAAGGAACAACAAAGTAGTTCCTGATGGAACTAGTAAATTAGGGAGAACTAGAGAAAATCACACACTGAAGATACGGAGGTTTGGATCTTGACTGTATTGCACAAACTGCCAGTGCTGTCTGTTAATCACTTCAGCTATTTTTGCTCAAACTTACACACAAAATGCATATTCTAAAAACATTATTGCTATCTAATGAAGTAATTATTAGTACTTCTTGGGCAGAAAAAGCAAGAGAGATCAGTATTTTGCAGTTTTCAATTCTTTCTAGAAGATTTTCAAATACTAGGTGATTTTATGGCAATATGAAAAGCAAACAGAACTGTTCTGAACTGCAACTAAATGTTGCAGTCACATACAGGCCCATTCTCCTGCAATAAATAACATCTATTAATGTATTAAACAGAGACAAGTAATTGGCAGGCCTGCATAAACATCTTCCGTACTTACAGTGCCAGGTCGTGGATAYGGAATTCTGCCCTGATATGGAATCAGCTGGTGGTTTGGGCCCTCCTTGTGCGCAAATGGCCCGTTGAACACGGTCTGGATGTCAGATAAATGATATACACACACAGCAGAGCCTTTAAATATGGAGCTGGAAGATAAATAATAAAAAATTAGCACTTTACTATCTTTTGCATAATTCTTCCATCACCATGCATAGTTTTGTGATGAGAGACACCCTCAAAATAACATATTAAATACAATCTAATACTTCCATAGCATAGATTTAACATATTAAACAATCAGCTGATTTAGCTTCCCAATATACAACATAACTCACTAAGGCTGAGCACCTTTTAACCATTGACCTGAAAAAGGAGAAGGCTTCTACACCAGTGATGGAACAAGAAAATTTCCTACTTTTAAATATAAAACAAACACAACCTGGCACAAGTTAAATCAATGGCAAAAATATTGCTGACTTTAGTGAGACAAGGGTTTTATAAACTTAATGCTGCCAAGCTCAGCACAGGTTTCCAGAACTCCACACCAATAAATTAACCACAAGACCTTCATAAGCTCTCTGAAAGACATGGCTAGAATGTTAATCAAAACTTCCAGCTCAATTACAGTTGGTGAGCTTATTATAACCAGTTGCCAACTTTTCTAAACAAAATGAGGACAGGTTGTGGCTGTAAAAGAATTACTCCTTTATAGTCCAGCAGTCCTCCCCTAGAACCTGTTTCACAAAGATCTCCCTTCAGGAGAAGTGAATGTTGACACCTCCTGAAGAGAAAATGGGGAGTCATCTATGAGGAGGGTCTGCTTTTTCACTGTGTCTTTATTCACCCAAATAATATCTCTGATGCCTCCTCACACAGCACAAGCTGTGAATGGTCTCCATCATCCAATGATGAAGAACACTAAGGGAATAAATAAGACTACCTGGAGTAAAATTAGATCTTCCTTTCTTCTTTCACTGTWTAAGAGGCTTGGAGTATTTATCTTAAAAAAGAGGAAAGTCTAGCATTAACTGTGAGATGAAGACAATCTAGTCTGCAAACATAACTCTTTGTTTTCAATTAATGAAGAAAAATAAAACACTACAGAAGAAAATGGAAAATGTTAAATGTTCAAATTTGCAGTTATAAGATAGAGTGAGAATGTTAGGAAAGTTCTACTGGCAATCACCCAACAATCAACACTACTCTTGGCTCTATATGTATTAGCAGGAGGAAACTCTTAGGTGGATTATGGTACTGGTGGAAATTTCAATAGATTTTAATAGGTTTAAAAAATATATCTAATGATTTTGAATGTTTTATTTGCTGGATTTACAGCAGATCATGCCAACAAAATAATTTGCCTCAGTTTTACACGTTTTACCTCAATAAAGTTTAGGTAAAATTATTAATCATTACTCTTTGGAAAGATGTTTGTCTTGATACTTTTCTCAGCTGTAGGTCTTAAGAGGTGAAAATAAAGAAACTGTTGGAAAGTAAAATTCATTATGACTGCTGTATTTAATTACGTAACCCTTTCAATATACAGTCATAAAGAAAAATGAAAGAGAAAATATAAACCACAGACCATGCGGTTTAAAAACAGAAATGCACGTGAATGTTAAAGCTTCAGTAGAGAGAGAAAATGGCTTGAAAGACAGAAATATGCAGAGTTTTCTCTTTGTTGCCACCTTATATGGTCTTTTGACTGAGACCTTATTTCCAGTGCAAGAGAATACCAGGAGAATTAGGTAAAAGTGTTTCCAAACTGAGACATGTTGCATCCATAACCTAATCATAAGTGTGGTTTTACTGCTAAACATAGACTCAGCATTTTTTCTTTTTGTGAACTAGGAATCGTAAAATATAGACAGCACCAGATGTTTACAAGTTAYGGATTTTTTTTCCACAGTAAATGTTATAAAATCATACTTTCCTGGCTAGTTCACACATATGAGAATGAGGATTCCTGTATATTATCTGAACAGAAAAGCTGATCAGGAAAAAATTGTCATGCAAAGATTTTTTTTTTTTTTTAATGGATAATGCCATAAAAGGAATTTAGAGAAATAAGCCTAAAAATAAATGAATTTGATCAGATAAGTGACAAGAAACAAAAATAAAAATTAAAAAACCTCTTTTTGAAGGTAAGTAGTAGAGGGAGATATATCGAATAGGAAGTTTCTGTTTTCATTCTGTGTGTTATCAGCATATGCCAAGAACAG